GAACTCAAACGGAGTTTACTCATCACCATCATCGTTCAAATACTCGCGGATCCACCCACAAAAAGCCTCAGAAGAAATTTCATCATTGGTCGCCAAACAACCACAAATCATTCAAGCATCCTGAATCCGTCATCATCAAGCCAACAATAAGTAAAAGGGTAAGTCGTCGTAAAAGATTAACATTCACATTTTGTTTTTCAGGTTCGCAGGAAACAAGAAAAAGAAGAGAGTGTCGTGGAAACATACGAGTAAGCCATGAGAGAATATGGAAACTGTGGCAATGGAGATGGAGATCGAAAGGGAAGAAGAATGCGTTCAGAGAAAGAAAGAAGACAAAGCCGCCGCGGGAGAAAGAGGGTTATGGAACCCTAATTTTTCTGTTCCTATTTTTATGGGTTATTAAATGGGTCGGGTCTCGTGGTTGGTGACCCTGCCCGACCCGTTTTGATTTTTTCATTTTATGTGATTATATTTTTATCATTATTGTTTTACATGTAAAAAAAAATTCTTACAAACAATGTAAACTAATATTTTGAAAAAAAAACTTAATAATTAAAACCATTTTCAACTTCATTTTTAAAACTTCAAATTAAAACTAAAATTTAAATTTAACATTTGTAAATTAAAAAAATAATAACTTTTTACAACTAAAACTTTTTTAAAATAAACCTATTCCTAATAAAAATTAAATTTTAAATCAAAACCTTTTTAGAAATTACTAACCTTGTTTATGAGTTTTTTTCAATATACTTTGATTAAGATTAAATTCCTAATTTTATTTTGCTTGCATAATTAACAACATTAACCTTTTCTTTAAGATTTAAAATCCAGTTTTTTTTATAAGTAAATTAATACTAACATTTTTAAAACATTAGACTTAAAATTATTTTCAATTACTTACAAACCCTTTCATTCTAATTTCTGACATAAAAATTCAAAAAGTAAAAACTCCTAACATTCCTGTTAATTGCCATCTGACTTTCATATTTCTCATTTGTACTTGGTTACTAACTTCATATTTTGTCGTATTTCATTTTATGGTTGTAACTTTATGCGAGGACATCATCGCTTTTGTTTTGTTATTATTCTTGCACATTTTTCCATATTTCGATACCGTTGCTTGATTAATTTTTCATTGTATTATTTACCGATAAGATCCCCTCCGAAGGAATAGGTCTAGCTGTTTGACCGTCGCGTCAATAGTCCTTACCTTTGACTCTTTCACTGTTCAATTTCAATTCAATTTCAACGTAGAGATAGGAGTCGCCGCACTCCACATAAGTGCTTCCTTAAGAACGCTTATTCCCCATTGAAACCTTGACCACCGTTAAGAAGTTTCTCTTCCTCCCTTTCAAGGGGAACTATGATTACTCTGATTCCATCCCCTACCTCGGATACGTAGGCATAAGATGCGAGTCTTGGCGAGTAAACTTAGGACTAACCCTTAGGTCTTTCTTTTCACCTTTTAACCCTTAGCATATACCCTTAAGCAGATAATTATAGCAAAATAGCAACATTAAAACAAGAGGTTCCTGTAGAGTACTACAGAAGTTTAGGGTGCTAATACCTTTCCTAAGCTTAACCAACCCCCGAACCCTAAATCTCTCCCCGCATTGTGTTTACGATGTAAAATAGGTTTTTCCTTTCTTTAACCTTTCTTTCGGATAAATCAAAGAACGGTTGTGAATCAAAGACTTATGATTCAAATTAATTAATAATTTGATATTTGATTCTCACCGCAACAAATGGAATGGATGCTTCAAAAGCCTATGCAGTTTATGAGAATTGCAGAAGCTAGTAGAGGCTACATTTTATAGTCTTAGTGTATCTAAGATGTCTTGCTTTGGAGTAAGTAGGTTTCATGCTAAAGACCAAATGATGAGCTAGTTCTGATCTTGGTTTGCTGATTGATGAAGGGATCTTCACTTTGGGAGCTTGTTGTGGTGAAAGCATGAGAGTTTATTTCTTTTTATGGGTGTATGGAGTTCTTGATGATCAAACTGGTGTAGCCGTGTTCTCTGAAGGTCTTCAGATGGATTACTATGCATATAGTAATTCCAGTTGTTATTGTATCAAGAACCATAGTGTATAGTGTCTGTGATATAAGAAGGATGTCCTAACTGATGTTAGAACATTATCTGGGTTCTTGTTATCCTTGGATGAGGACGTGAATGACTTAGTGTGATATGTGATATTTACTAGCTGAACCAGAAGCGTTCTAACTTATCATACGGGAGAATGATGAGGTGAAGACTGTCTTGGATTATGGGGTGTCTATCTGATAGTCTGACTCTTGTTGAGGTCAGAATGCTTGTGGATAGGTGGTTTCTTCTGCCGAAAGTAACTCTAGAAAGATGTGGATCAGTTTGGTGCTTGTGAAACAAGTAAGCTGAGGATTTCTGGAGCATGTATATGATGTTTTTCATGTGTGAATGACATTTGGGATAACTAACAAACTAAGAGACTCTGTATGTCTCTTTGAGGAATGTGAACAGGTTCAATTGGATTTATCATTAAGGAACATGGATATTTATGACTGTAAAGTCTAATATGGATTTGTACAGGGTATGGATGGGTTCAGGATGAGAGGGATCAATGGCGATTTTGGTCTTAATCCAAGAGTTTGTTGGTTATGGTACAAGGATGTTGATCCTGGTACTTTCTCACTATATGAGCATGAAGTTGGTCATGAGATATCATGTGGTGATTTTGGGTGTTTCTTGTTGGAAGAAGCATTGTTTATCTATAACTATATATAAAGGGGATACGACTTTTTGATGTGGTCTATTTTTGTTCCATTATTCCATATTTACCCTTTACCTTAATGCTTAATTTCTCACATGATTTTATTTAATAATAATACTAAATAATAACTGTAAAAAATAACTTCCCACTATTTCCAATAGTCCTTCCTATTATTAACGTTCATACTAACTCCTCTATGCAAAGTGAGTCTCTCTCCAAGCCATTTACAAACTATTTCTCTCAATTTGTCAAGCTATTTGAAAATTAATCATATTTATCTCTCCCTTTCTTTATCAAACCGTGCATACCTCTATTAGTGTAGATCAAGACTCTCAACAAACTCATTCTGATATTATTTTTGTCAGGTATTTTTTTAAAATATAATTGAATGAATTTATTAAACATTGATCACATCTCCTCCTATTTACATTTCTACTGGTTTACATTCTTTTATGGACATCATTTCTGAATATTGATGGAAACTAACATTTACACTTGCCTGCGTTTTTTGTTTTGTTTTTAATTGATACATGGAAGTTTTTTTTGTACTTGATAATTACTATAACTATGAAATAGTTGCTAAGAAATTGTCGTATAGATTGAAATATTGCATAACTTTTGACGCGCACTTCTAGTATAAATTGGAAATTATATGATACAGTGATGTTTTGTAGATTATACTAAGAAATTGTTTGGAAGTTTTCAATGGGTATTTGATATATTTTGTGTAATTACTGGCGAAATATGACACTACACGTAATTATTACTCCATTACATTGGAAGTATCTATTAAAATATAAAATTCATAAACTGCCATAAAATGTTTCCGATACAATATTTATAACCACATGTATTGTTCATTAACGTATCAGACTGTCATCATCGTACACATAAAAGTGTGAAGTAGTATTCTACGCTTTGTGGTTTGTATCAATTATCATGATTTTAGGTATACCCATATATCAAGACTACCGTAATAGAAAGCAGATGGAAGTACTTAGGTATACTAACTTAGGTAATTTATAAAATATACTAATATTTAAGCTTGAAGTATATAGTTCAGTATATTTACTCTTGGGAAAATATTCCCTAATTATTTATAAATAAATAGCCTTAATTATATATCTCAGAAATTATATATCATATGCTTTGTGATTTAGCCTTAGTTATAATTCTCATTTAGCCTTAATTTGGTATCAGTATAATTTGTTTAAGTTTACTGTAATTGATTGGTTGTTACTGTTTTTCAACCTCATTGGTGTAATAATTTTATTTTAAATAAATTACATGCGATTTTTTTCCAGATATACATGAGGCAATAAGAGTAGAACGTCACAACCAGGCACGGATCCACTTCATTGACGTTGGGGGCAGTAGCCCCCACTTGGTTTGGAAGCCTTAGATCGATCATTACAAGACATTTGTAGCAACAATGCTCCATTTGGAGGAAAAGTTATGATCATGGGGGGAGACTTTCGACAAGTTCTTCCTGTTGTAAGAAAAGGTACTAAGGTACAAATGATTTCTGTGTGTATTATTCAGTCTCATTTATGGGCTCATACCAAAATTTTGCGATTGCGTCAAAATATGCGATCATTGCATGATCAAGAGTTTGCAGAATTTCTTATGCGCATTGGTGATGGTGTTAAACCTACCAAACCAGATGACATGGTGAGGTTGCTTTCACAGATTGCAGTCCCATGGGAAGGTGAACATTTCATACAAGTGCTTATACAACATATTTTTCCTGATTTAGAATTGCATGGTTGGGATGCCCTTTATATGGTACAAAGAGCTATTTTGACCCCAACAAACGATGATGTCTAAAAATTGAATGATATAATTGTTGACCAGTTTCTAGGAGAAGAACATAATTTATTTTCATTTGACGAGGTTGAAGGGGATAATAATAATTTATACCAGCAAGAATTCTTAAACTCAATTGCACAAGGTAGTATGCCCCCGCATATTCTAAAGATAAAAAAAAAGTGCACCATTGATGTTGTTGCGAAATCTAGATCCTAGATATGGGATGTGTAATGGGACGCGATTATTATATCGTGGGTTATATATGAATATGTTGGATGTGGAAATCTTGACAAGAAACAACGCAGGAAGACGAGTTTTCTTGCCCTGAATTAAAATAAAAACATCGGCCAATGATGGGTTGCCTTTTGTCTTTAGTAGAAAGCAGTTTCCTGTGCGACTAAGTTTTGCAATTACAATAAATAAGTCACAAGGACAAACCATCCCAAATGTTGGAATATATCTTCCACGACATGTGTTTCAGTCATGGACAGTTATATGTGGCTTTATCCAGAGGTGTTTCACAGACTACAACAAAAGTTTTATCCGAGAAAGGAAAATTGGAAGGAGAAGATGGTGACTACACAAAAAATGTAGTCTTTAAACAAATTCTTTTATCGCACCCGCAGGTATCATTACGTACATTAAACAAATAATCTCACACATCGATTCCCATACATGAAATACCAATATTATATTGTATTCTTTATATGATAAAACTAAGTATAACTAAGTATAAAATTGTGTGGCTTTGATATACAGCCAAACTAGAACACAATGAAGTCTTCCAATTATGTAAGGAGCTGAGTCAGAAGAATGTTGAAACTTGCTTCGACATAAAGGTAAGTTATACTTAATCCATTATTTTATGCTTTTAATTATAATCAATCAATTGGATCATACTTATTCTCATTATTCTTATATGGAATAAATTTTAGATGGGGGACTTTAAAGATAAATGAAACACATGGAAAGATGAACAAACAATTTTATCTATCGGCAAGCTAGACAATAAGGTGCATTTACCTTTTTCGCAACATGTATAAAAAAATATGTTTGTTGCATTTTCACCACTCTTTGACTAACACTTTTATCATCCTTATTAAAACAGGTCAAAAGCGTCTAAAAGTTTACCGTGTCAATTAGGGCTCCACAGTGATAACAGATAAAACACAACTTTGGAAAATGGTGAAAAAAGAAATTATATCTCAAAGGATGGACAGGTTTTTATTTTATTCAATTAATAATGTTTATCCATAGAATATTTTTGAACGCATGAGTTTTACTTTTACTATTGGTTTATGTAAATAAAACCATGTATATTCACTAAACTCATTATTTTCCTATTTTTTTTTACCAGAAATCCACGTAATTCAAAAATAAGTATTTTTTTTTACCAGAAATCCACGTAATTCAAAAATAAGTCAGGGTTGTTGTTCTACCAAATCTGAACTAAAACAAAATATTTTCATTCTTCAGGTATACATTTATTTATAGTTCAGTACACCAGATTATAATCAAACAAATCACATGTTTTGAATGTATTTCTTTGTTGATATGACATTTCACGATGTATTTGTAGTTTTTTAAAGCTCAAGAGCGCATCGATAAAGGGATGTATGAAGAATTGATTCGAATTTTTACAAGGTAGAAAAATAATATATTACACTAATTACTATTACTTTCACTATATTTTTCCCTAGAGATATTCTAATGTGAGAGTCTTACATTTTTTCTTTACTACGGAAAAAAATTGCAGGGAGAGAAAAAATTCTTAAGATAAAGATTTTATGTTCGGTCTTCCTCTTAAAAAACGTTATTGATTACACAGTATAGATAGTACTTTGTGTTCTTCAATTATTTTATATCATTTAGAATAACTTTGTTTGTTATTTTCAAAATGTAATAATATTATTAGCATGTTTAGACAACATATTTTTTAACTTAAATTTTATTTAATTCGGTATGTTTAAACTAATAGTAGCATTAATGTATAGTTAATTCACTGAAATATTTTTAGTATATATATATTTATCATCTTGATTTTAAAACAGCTTGAGAATATATAAAAACAAATGCATTTAATTAATCTTAAGTATGATAAAAACTTCATACAAAATATACACGCGTTTATTTTTCTATGTTGTGCGCATTAAAAAAGCGGACAGACGGGCACAGGAGTGCCCGTCTGAACGCTAGTGAAAGATAGGGGGAAAACTTTTGTTCGATGGGTGTACTATTGTGGTACACAGATTGCTTGTGGATCAAGCAGTGAGTGAATGTGTTTAGCAGGTGTGTTGAACAAGGAGTGAGCTCTTGAAGACATGAAGATGAGTCTTATGTTTTCCATTCACTTAAAGGTGTTCTTCTTGCAAAGGAGCACTGTTTATCTTAGATAGGGGGAGTTGGATTTCTATCTAGGATCTGTTGCTGCGATAATGTAGTTGTATATCAAGATTGTTTGTGGTTTTAAATAGTATGTGATAGAGTACCTCTAGTGAGGGTGTGATGTCAAACAAGATGTCATGACATTGTGTTACTGGTGAAGTTCATGGTGGACTTGACAATTTAGACTTGGTTCTATCGTTGGGGCATCAATGGATTGAATCAGTATTGTACAAGCTTCTTGGGAGTGTTCTAAGAATCTTTGTTCTTATCTGGGAGAATTTATTTTTCTCTGCAGAATGAGATAAGGGTCATGGGGGTCTTTATTGTTAACTGGGAGATCTTTGAAGAAATGTCTTAACATCTTGGTCAGTTGCTTTTACTTCTGGATGAAAGGAGTATTCTTGAGGCTCATTGAAAGACATTGTGACTATGCTTTAGAGTTTACCAGATGGAATGGACAAAGTCTGACAAAGTGTCAGGACATTGTTTAGGACCTGTGGTTGTTTTAAGTTACTGTCTTTGGATGTGTTTCTTGGACGGTGGAGCATGTGCTTAAGAGAAAAGTACAAGGATTGAGTTTGTTCTTGCATTTGGTTTGCAAGGATGTTGGATAAGATGTTCTAACAAGCAGATAGGGATTTCAGTTGAAAGGGGGGGTCTCAAAAGTGTACCAATCATAAACCACCACTCTCTGGATGAAATTGAATGTCGTTTGGACTTTCTTTTTCTACCTAAGGGGTTTTAGCCAAAATTTGTCAAAAGGGGGAGATTGAAGGCTCTTTTGTTTTGACATAAATTTTGGTAAAACTTAATGAAGAACAAGATGATCCAACATGAAGAATTCTGCCCCATACCAAAGATGTTGAATGAAATGTCCCAACATGAAGACTCGACATCTAGACCAATTTAGCAGGTTTTGTTTTTAAATTTGATCCAAGATTCAAGGCGCGTTTAACAGTGGATCAAGGATAGAATATTTGAAGCCCAAGACAACAGAAGGTTATAAAAGAAAACTTAGACTTAGGGTTGAATAATGAATTATTGTGTAATACTTGTAAAGTAGAAAATAAGAGTTTAGGGTTTTGAGAGTCGTAGTGCTTTCTTGTGTTGTAAGTCTCCCTTTGTACCGATTGGATACATTGTGGTAGACATAGATGTTTATACAAATTCAGAAGCCTTGGATGAAGCTTTGAAGCAAATCCAAGTAGGATTGTTAGTCAAGGTTGTTTGGCTGAACTTTGTATTGAAAGAGGGTTCTTTCAAGTAGAATGATACAATTATTGTGACTATAACTGTCAGATATCACAGGTAGCGATTAAGGGAGTGAGATAGGTTTCTCTTATCAATTAGATGAGATTTCTAATGATAAAGTTTTCATTGGGTAGTGATAGGTAAACCGGAGGTTGTTTACTATAAACCAGAGGTTGTTTACATAAAACTATACTACTGATAATGGACTCTTCTTCCTGACTTCGTAACCCCCAGATGTAGGTGAATTGCACCGAACTGGGTTAACATATATTGTGTTATTTATCATTCTGCAAATTTACAGTTCAGTATTTGCTTATTGATTAACATGTCGTAACAGATGTTGAAACATCTGTTGTGATTCTATTACTGGTATTCAGAGTGTCAGCTTGATTTTTCTGCCCTTGTTTTAAAGTTATATAGAGAACAATGTCATGACATGTTGTTACAACATTTGTGATCTGCATTCCAGAATTTCACTTTGGACTCTAGGTTATAGTGTTGGTGGATTTGGATTTACTTAAGGAGTTAAGATATAAAGTGTTGGCGGAAAGAGTGAGATTTTCATTCTTTGTGGAGTTGAGTATGAGAGGCTTTTTGACTTTTGTATTTTTTGTAGTTGTATTGGACATCCCTTGGATAATTGCAAGAGGGAAAATATTCAGGACCAAAACATGCCAAAAGCCAAATCAAAAGAGGAAATGAAAAAAGTACATGTGGAAAAGAAAAAAAAGGATTGAGTCAGTTGACATATCTAGTAAGCAGTAAGTAGTTGACATGGCTAGCAAGAAACATGTAGTAACAAGGGAAACAAGTGGTTTGAACAAGCAACTTATTCCTATTATTCAAGATACTGAGAAGATAATGCCTTCTAGCGACTCAGACTTTGAGTTTGTTGATGCCATTCTCCAAGATGAAAGGGTCCAAAAACACAGTTGGATATGGAACCATGGGGACCAAGACAATGAGGGCTTCAAAGTGGTCACTTTAAGGAATAAAATAAGAAGTAAGCTTATAAAAAAATCTATCACTAGGTTCACTCCTAGTCTTACTAACAATTCCTTGTGACATGCATATATTCTAGAACATAAGAGAAGTTTTTAATGCCTCTTCCAGACTGGCCCTAAAAGACTTATTTTTGTCAATAAACCAGATTTGTTGTTAATACCTCTACTAGCTACATCACTAGACGAAACTTTTGAAATAACCTTGATCTAATCATCCTTGATATGCCATAATTTTTTTTTCAAATGTTAGGCCATACTCTTTCAAATTTGTGCCATAGATTATGCCACCATAAGCATACCAAAGTAGGCCAAAATAAGAAAAAATTCTGCAAAAGTTAAGAGCCTTGATACTTTCTCTAAAGATTAAACCTCAGTAAAGATAAATTTAATCAAAATTAAATGATTATTGTGTCACAAACACCAACATTCTATTAAAAAGCACTCATTTACATTTAGATGGTTGTATTATACAATAACACATCAACAACATTACATAACACTAACATGGCTCATTCAATAATTGCACTTAACTATTATAAGATAAATGTTAATCATAAGAGAAACTACAAAACACATCAACTTGATTTTTCCAACATAAGTCTTTGAATTCAATTTCGTATGCAGCTCTGTGTTTTTCTTCTCTGAAGCTTCATACAACTCCTTCTACAGTTCCACAACTTCCAAATCCTTCAACTTGTTCACATATATATTTCCAACACCATTCACATCTTCTACTTCTAACAAACCTTCATATCATATGAATAGATCATATGTATCATCATCCAGCTAAAATGGACATATCTAAAAAAATCTTTCTTTATTACGACCGTTCTTGCAATAGTAGGACACCTTACAAGCTTCACACCAACACTTTCTTTCTGGTCGACTCTTTACATAGGAGGAAGACATAAAAATGAGTTTCGTACCCCTTGATTTAGAAGACAACATGAAAATAACTTTGATTTGAAAGTTGAATGAACAACATAGCTTAACTTCTACGTATGAGATAGAAAGAGACGAAGAATAATTAAGGCAAAATACATATACTATTTTCTCAAACGATGCTACACTTTAATAAAAAAAATTAATAATTTATTAATAATAAACAAATACGTGTTAACTAATTAACTTATAATTTCAAACATCACAATTGATTATTCAACTATGTTTTAAAACCATATATAACCGGGCAATTTCAAACTAACCATTATTAAAAAGAATTTTTTATAGAAATTATAATCAAAATTATTATAGGAACTACATATTTTTAAATATATCCAACTGTAAAATTCATGGTATTTAAAAATTTACCTAAATAGAATTTAAAAGAAAAGTTAGAATAAATGCAAAGAAATTTTCTTGATGAGTGAGTCCTGAAACCAAGTCACTTCTCTTCTTCTATTCTCCGTGCGTGAAATCAAATTGGCGCAGAGAGAGAGAGTTAACGCAAATGGCAGGACGCAACCATCACCACCATCTACACTCTTCTCTCGCTCGCCGCGAGGAACCCCACCTCTCTCATTCCTCCACCGCCTCCGCTCGGCCCCTTCCGGTCACCGCCCTCGAAGACCTCATCAACGCCCGCCACCGCGAACTCCATTCCCTCCTCCTCGAAAACCAGCGTCTCGCCGCCACTCACCTTGCCCTAAAACAGGACCTATCCGCCACTCAACTAGAACTCCGTCAGCTCTCCGTTGCCGCCGCCGATGTTAAAGCCGAACGAGACGCAGAGGTGCGCCGGATCTATGAGAAGTCGCTCAAGATGGACGCTGAGGTACGCGCTGTCGCTGCCGTGAAGTCTGACCTTGATCAGGTGCAGGATGATGTGCGTGAGCTTGTGGCAGAGAGGAAGGAGCTTACGTCGCAATTGCAGTCCATTCAGAGTGAACTCGATTTGGCTCGTAACGATTCGAAGTCCTTGCCGGCTATCAAAGGCGATATTGAAGCGTTGCGCCATGAGATTCATCGGGGAAGGTAAAATTAAATTTTCCGGTGTTAAACTCTTGTG